GTAAGATGATTTTAATTCTGTAAATCAATGTCAAATTATACTGTGTTAATAATCGAGAAAATTGTATTCCAAATGATTGAATAGTAATAGCCTTAAGTTGAGAAAGCTGGGAAAGAATGAATATTTTATTTTAAAAGCCTGAATTTAGAGTAGTATAGACTAGAAGCTTTTATTGTGACATTATTTCTAAGTTTTAAAAATTGTGCTGGTATTGACCCTAGAAAAACCTCTACAACTTTAGATTTTTAAGAGAGAGATTTGAGTTATCACCATTACTTCTAACCGGACACTTAACCAGATGTTGAATTCTCATTTGAAGTTCTACAACTATAGGCATCACAGCCAGAAACTGAGCTCACAAAATGTATTGCCTGAAGTTAATAAATGGCAGTCAAACTATACCAGCAACAAATGAAAGGAAAATGAAGTGAACTATATTTACTTGGAAATAAAAAATGAGGTAAATAAAATGAGAGGATTGACATCTGACTTCAAATTTCCATATTTTATTTGTATCATTCCGGAATCAGCTTTGCTTTCTGATCCAGACTTTTTCCTGTCTTTCTCAAAGTCATGTATCTTGCTTCAGTTCCTCTTACCAAAACCTACGCTGACTCTGGGGTTTTAGTCCCACTGAGCTACCCTGGAATCCTTACTTACCAGAGCCCTGAAAGTTACGCTTTCCCTAATAGCATCCTCTGACCCAGAAAGTACTTACTTGTCTGTCTGCCTCGAGTGTATATGACATCAAACATTTTTCCTCTTTTTAATTGAATGGTGATTATTGTTCACACCTGCCGTAAACTTCCCGTTTTGCTCTGCAACCCTGATAGCTTTTTTCTGCAACGACCTGTGAAACTTAAATTTTCTCTTATTTTTTTAGCTTCCTAAAGTATATCAGACATTACAGAGATGAGTAGTTTTCATTTACATTTAAAAATGAAATAACAAACAATATGAAAGGTTTTATGTGATATATAGTATATTGGATATAAACGATAATAGAGTTATCATCATATCCACAACCCAGCTTAAGAAATAAACATTAAAAAATACATTTGACTTGTGTTTGCTGCTTCCTTTCTTCAGAGGAAACCGTATTTTGAATTGAATGTTTATCATTCCTTTGTTTTTCTTTATGGTTTTTTCCACATTGCTGTGAATTTCTAAAATAAAGCATATTGTTTACTTTTACATTTTTTGAACTTTATATAAATTAAGCATATTTTATATACACACAGCTTGCTTTGTTTACATTGCATCATGTTTGAGCAATTAATCCATGCTGGTGCATGTGACTTTTTGCTGCTGTACAATACCCATGTTGTTCTTGTTGCTTGTTGTTTAAGTTGTTTACAGTTATTTGCGATTATAAAGAATACTTCTATGATATTTCTGTATATTGCCTGGCATACACATACAATGATTTCTCTTTTGTTATTGCCTAAGATTGGAAATGACAAGCCACAGGGGATGTGTGTGTACAAGTTAATGCCAAGTTGTTTTTCAAAGTTGTGCCAGTTTACTTTTTCACCAGCAGTTTATAAGGTCTGCAGTCTTCTTTCTTTTAATATGCCAATCAGAGCTTCAGAAAACACAATATGAAATGCAGATTGTGTTTCTGAAACAGGTGACTCTTGGAATAATTATTCCCTCACAAAAATTCTTTGATTCATTTTAAAAAATGTATTAACTTTCTACTATGATCTCTGAGCAATGAGGGAAATAAAAAAAGAAACTAGTGGTATTATTCCTGCCCCCCAGGGGAAAAAGAATCTATCTAGAACAATTAAATGTTAAACCCTGTGGCATGGAATCCTGATTTAAATAGGAGTTCACAGGATGGAGATGTCAATTTGAACTGTTGAAATTGATGGAATTGGAACTTAAGCCTGGCTATAAATGTGAGACCAGATTGTGGACTGCATTGGAGCCAGGCAGGGAATTTGAACTGTAGGCAAGTAAGGATTCACTATAGACTCTCAAGTAGGGTAATATTCTTCAAAATGTATTATTTTTAAAATAAAATTACAAATTCATCATACAGAATAGACTGGAGAGAAGATAGCTACCCTTTTGCCTCAGGTAGTCAAGATGGAAGGATGGATAGATTGAGAAAGCCATTTGGAGGTCTCTGGGACCTTCTTGGCTCTGTTCACCTTCTCACCGATTCTGAGTATGGAAAAGAGACAGTGTTCAATTCTGTCTCTAGTGATTTTTTTTTTTCTCTAGCAGAACCTTGTCATTAGAAATAGTTAGGAAAAAAAGAAGAGAAGGGAGGAAGGGATGGAGGGAGAAAGAAAACAGCTCTTTTCTTCATTTTTCTTCCCATTGATTGGAGGTTTGAAGAGGCATGAGTTAATTTGCGTAATTACATTTCCATTCAGTATTAATTAGATATCTCTCTCCAACCACCTCTGTTTTACACTGTTAAACCTCAAATTACTGTGAGAAGTTAAAATTTATTCTTTTGGATTATGACATTTCTCTCTGCTTTGTTAAGTGTTGATATTGTGGCACCGTCTGGTTGAAATGTAACTTCTTTATTGAAGAGAGAAAGGATGTTGTGAAGATATTCTTAGCTTATTTAATTAGGGAACAGTGTCTTAAACCTTTGTGAGGAGAAATATATTTGCATTTTAGACATGTTATTGATTCTCATGATGTATTACACTTGTGCTGAACAAGAAAGCCCATGGTATTTTTTTTTAAGTCATCTCTGCAGCTTAAAATAAAAATGTTTAAAAATATTGTTAACCAGGCCATTTTCCTTTCTGACGAATAGTAACCTGACTCTTTAAAAAAATTCTAAAGAACAAATATTGAATTTCCTCATGCAGCTTATTATTTTAAGGCTACATTACTTGTCTCAAAGGCTGTATTACTGTTCCCAGCTCTGTTAGAATCTTTTTTGAATACTTTGGCTGAGTTCATAAGATAAAGTGTTGCTTTTATAATTAATTTCGCTGCTTACAAATCTTTAATAAGATGCTTTAGACCTACCGTCCAGATTCCTCAGCTTAGTTTTCAAGACCCTTCTTACTTCATCCCAGCCCATCTGGTCCACTTATTCAGGGCCTCCAAAAAAAGATGGGCTCCAAAATCATAAGCTCTTGTGACTTTCCTACAGGTTTGCCTGTTACCTATATGTAGAAAAAGGAATATATGTCGCTTTTTTGAAATCACAAAGGGATCTGAGAGCCACAGCTATAAGTATAGGGCAACATTAACCAGTCATTCTGAAAATTACCATCCCATTATGGTTTATTTGCAAAAAAATAAGATGATACCTTAACTCATGTAACAATTTTGAAATTCCAGGCATCAACTTTGCTTCCCTCTCTTCTTGCCTCTGTCTTTGATATTTCCCTTCCTGTAGATCATTGAATTCATCCACCAGTATTTTTTATTCACCTAGAATTCATTGGCCAGTATGTAAAGCTTTGGGAAGACTAGGATAAACATAGTGGGACTCCTGGGATTCCAGTGAGGGTACAACAGAGACACCTCTAAAATCGTGAGCTGGGCCCTGTGATGGGAGCAGCCTTGAGCAGAACAGGTGTGAGGAGGAGGTAGAAAGATTTCACAAAGGATGTGAACTGGGTCTCAAAACCTTAGTTCTTTCTGTTGGAAGATTATTAAAAATTTGTTTTGATCTGGTACATACAATCTCTATTTTATTATCTTTAGCTCATTGATTAGAGCTATATAATTGGAGTTGGTTTTTGTTTTGTCAATCTAATGAAATAGTGTTATAGTAGTATGAGTTTTGAGTCTGTTTCTCAGTTCTTTTACTATCCTTACCCTAATTTTTTAATAGTAAATGAGGTATTTTGATCCTTAGTTCATTAGTGCTTAATGTCTGTTTGCTTATTCTTAAATTATATGTCCAGATAACATCTTACTGTATGACATCCAGTGTCAGTAAGGTTTTTCTGTTTTGTTTTGTTTTTTTAGAACGAAAAGCTAAAAGACATAATTCATGTACATTTACAAACAGACATAAAGTGACTGTGTTTTGTTCAAATTCACCTTTTTTGATCTGGGTGATCTCGGGGTGGCGGGGTGGGGGGTGTAGGGGGGTTGGGGGGATTGGGGGTGGAACTTCCTGAAAGGAGAAGTATTCTTTGATGTCCAATGCTTTCCTTTTATATGCTTATATATGCTTGATTGTTATATATGCTTATATATGCTTGATTGTTCTTTTAAAGCATTAAAGTATTTGTCGGCCAGGCATAGTGGCTTGTGTCCATAATCCCAGCACTTCGAGCAGCCAAGGCAAGAGGATCACTTGAGCTCAGAAATTTAAGACCAGCCTGGGCAACATAGTGAGGCTTTGTCTCTACAGAAAATAAAAAAATTAACTGGGTGTGGTGGCATATGCCTGTAGTCCCAGCTACTTGGGAGGCTAAGGTGGAAGGATTGCCTGAATCCAGGATATCAAGGCTGTGGTAAGCCATGATTGAGCCACTGAAGTCCAGCCTGGGTGACAGAATGGGACCCTGACTCAAAATTTAAAAAATAAATAAAGCATTTGTCAAGAAAATAATTTTTTAAAATTATATTAATATGTATAACTTGCTTTTTTGCATATATTAATTTAAATTCTAAATTCTGCATGTTTGCATGTAATTAAAAATTAGATTATGTGTAATTAGAACTTTGTGGATAATGATGGCTTCCTCCGTAGCACATAGAATGATTTTAATGTATTCTATAGCCATATATTCAGTCTTTTTTTCAGTGTTCATTATGATTACTTAGTTTACTTCGTAGCGTTTATAAACTTCTTCATTTAATCTCAGTAGACTTCCTTTCAAACTTCCACTTGTTAACTGGATAAATGAAAATTAGAAGCATTTAAGAATAATCTATAAATTATATTTTTAAAAATTAGAGAATAACTTTGTAAATTGTTAGTTTTACTTATCAAGGTAGGATAAGTTTTTATCTTACAAATTAAAGCTTTTAAATTTTATTCACTTGTACTTACAATCTTC